AAGTCTCTACCATTGTTGTGTAATGAAAGGATGAAGATGATTCATGTCTGAAAGATAGTATGTATATTATACTAGTATGGTTTGAATTAGACGCACGCAACTTTTACATGATTTATCCCTGTTTAATATTGAAGTGAGGTGCCTTATATTTCGGCCATTGAAATACATAAAAAGGGGTGACAGAACTCCACCTCTCTCCGCCATTACAACTCCTGTCTCCCGTAGCCTATTAAATGTGGAAGCAAGTTATATTTATTATCTAAATTCGACTCTAAAAATACATCTGCAAGATTGTGATTTCTGATTCGCCAGTTTATAAATACGTAACCAAACTCAATTCTTAAAGAGCTTAGGCCGACACCATGTTCCGTGTTGCCACACCGTATCGACAGAACCATTCATTTGTTCATTAAGCAGGCACGTCTTAGCGATTTTAAGGACACCTTTTATGGGACCCTTGGGGCTATTTTTGGTCGTGTTCCGATCGATAGGCGCCAGCCTTATTATACAGTGAAGTGTCGCTGCGTCATTTATCAGGAGCGGGACCAGGTGTTTCTATAGGCAAGGGGTGTCTTGTAGCCTTAAAATTGTTAGTAGAAATTAAGAGAACTTAAGATTCCCATTTGTACAGTTTAATAGAAAACTTATTGAGAGGTAATCCTATCGATCCTTGATTTAATTTCCCAAAAAAAAAATAGACTTATTAGCTGAAGAAATCCTCTCACAACCTTTGAAAATGGCAGACATATTGGTAAAGGCGTTCTCAATTTAGTTCACTGATCGACGACTAACCCTGCTGAGTCACATCAAGATGACGTCAAATATCGCTCACAAAATAAACTCATGCTACCAAACCTTTAGAATATGAAAGAAGTTTGAGTAATGGTTGATTCTGGTTTTGTAACCTTTTAAATTCCAAATTAAACCCGAAATATGGCGTCACTACTCGTTCGCCTATTCCTGCCACCCCTGCACATATTTTGTCTCACGTTAGGCTACCTTTCTCTTTGTATTACAGCTTTCCATTGCCCATTGTGTGATTTATCGTTTTTGTGTTCACTCCAATACCTGCTAGGATATTTATTATCGGCTATTTCCCGGCAGATGTTTTTGTTTTATCCACCAGAGCGATCGGTTCCATATCGTAAATAATCTCCGAGATCGTCTACGTATACGATATTTTATTCATACGGTTCTGTTTCTGGGCTTTCGTCGTTTTTCAACGGGTTATTGTGTTTATTTTCTATTGAAAACTCAGAGAAGTCTGAATGAATCAAGCTCACATATCACATAATTTCCATCCTAATTATCTTAGGACGTGTCGTCCACCGTCTCTTTCATTGATCTCCAGTGGTGGTGGAACGGTGGTCATTCAAAACGTAAGTTTCATTCAACCATATAATTACTTTTACCAATTTATTTGGTGCTTTTATTTTAACAATGAATAAACCAAGTGCAACATTGGCTGCCATTTCAGTGCGTAATTATTCATTTGCAATCATTATGGGTATTTGTAATGTGGTTCGTGAATATCGCTTATTTATGACCGAGTGAATTGCAATATTTGCAATATTCACGTCATGGAAATCAGTATTGTTATCAGAATAGGTGTTTATTTATCAGTGTACGCGTTTTGGCCTGATTTACCGTGAAAAGCTCTTTCTGTGTGATGTAAAATGTACATTTTAATATTCGTGTTGTATGTACACCACGCGCTTATCATCATTATCATCATTTCAGCCACAGGACGTTCACTGCTGAACATAGGCCTCCCTCAATGTTTTCTATATCGCCTGGATGGTATCGGTCTTCATCCAACGCCTTCCTGCTACCCTTATGAGGTCGTCAGTTGTACCGCGCTCGTGCCTAACTACCTAACTCAATCAAGTTTTTTGTACTTTGGTTTACCCTGATGATGACTTTGCTAGTTTCTTTAGAACTAGTAGGTTCTACCTACGTTAATGAGCTAGATTACTTGTCAAATGTAGTTAACGTTGAATTGAAGATGTTTTCAAATTCTCGATTAAGTTTTTAATATGGACGAACTGATGTGTCCTGCGAATGTCAATAGCCAATACGAATATTGTTCCAGCGGCCCTTCATTAATGGAGTTCTTTGTGGCTGAACTGCGTTGTCGGATCGATCCTGTTGACTCTGCACGTATCGCTTTGATGCACGATACAGTTTTTGGCTGCCATTGTCGAATTCGGCTCGCCCGAGGCTTTCGCTGAATGCTAATTGCACTGCTGGTGGTTATGGGGAAAATAGACCCTAGTATTTTATAGAATTTATTGCCAATCTTCATCATCTAATTATATTATCAGAATCACAGTTATTAGTCACACATAATTCATAAATTTAACAAGTAGCATATGTATAGGTGTCAAAGTATTCGCACTTTCCTAGCTCCGAAATTGACATTCTTCAAAAATATTTTAGGACAGGGAAGTTTATTCAAAAACATGCACCGAATTTACAAAAAGTGCACAAATCAAATCGAATAAAAATGAACGAAAACCAACGTTGTTATTATGCTAAAACATTTCCCAGCTAACGAAGGAGAAAGGCGATTAAATTCATTAGCAACAATCTTTTATCTTGCGAGATGAAAAATATTTATACACTGCACCAGCGGCTCCTCGTTCCTCGTCCCCTCGGCCGACCCTCGCTGGGGACGTTGCGGTGAGTCACTCCGACAACTGACTAATACGCGGGTGATAACAGCCTGGGGTGAACAGCTAGCTCACTTCGACGTACATCATTACCACATAATATGACCATGCAGTGAAATTGAAAAATATTCTTAACTAGCGGCCGCCTGCGATTTCGTATGCTTGGATCCCGTATTACCTCCTTAGGGGTGGAGTTTCGTAAAATCCGTTCTTAGGCAACTACTACGCAGCTACGTTCTAAAAGGAACCCCCATGCAAAATTTGAAACTCCTAGCACTTGTAGTTTCTGAGATTTCGTGATGAGTGAGTGAGTCAGTCAGTGACCTTTCGCAATTCGGATTGAATTTAAATTGTTTTTGGCGTCTTGACAACAGACCTTGGAGTCGTAGAAAACTCTTCTGCGTCTGATGATGATTCACTTCGGGTTCGGAGATGAACCGCTATCGATGGCTCCTACGTATACTGNGGTGTGAGCTCGGGCACGGGGTGATGCGGTTCCAAAATGAAGTTGGAACTCGTTACTCGACCCTTGGTCGGGAGTTCAGGTCTGAGGTGTAAAAGTAGTCCTTGTCCGTTGCAGCAATTAAGCAGTACAGTTGTAGACAAATTGGACGAAAATCGGGGTCACCAATAAAGGGTACGTGGCTTAATATGGAAACTCACGTAGTCACTTTTGAATAAAATATAATATATTGTAAAATCTCCTATTTTACTACCTGACGTTCTCCTGACATCAACAACCTGGTTACCATCGCAACCGCCGTAGCCTATACCCGGCGCAAAGAGTTTTGCTTACCGCTACAGTAGAGTTGGCTAATGCGTTGTGTAGCGTCGAACAATCTCAATTCAATTGTAAAATTCAGTAGCTATTTATGAAAAATATATCAGTTAGATAGAATTATGAATAATAATTCAAGAAGAAATATGAGTAATAAGAAGAACAAAGTAAGAGGCAATCCTTGAAATGCTACAGTTTGACAACCCAACAAAAATTATGTATGCGATTTTACACACGAATTTGAATGCAAACGTTTGCACAAAAAATCTCATTTACAATGATTTTAACTGGAGAACTAAGAGGCTTTAAACAATCGAGTGTATTAACACAGGGTGACACAAGAGCTGTATTCAACGCTGTGCGTTCGATTTTCTGCTTCACGCAAGCATCGCTTGTGAATACAGGCGTTAATAAATATAATTTAGTGAAGCTTTTTGATCAATAGGCTCTAACGCAAACGTCACTAATTACGTCTAATTTAGTGATAAAAATATGAAAATTATAATGCCGATTTTATTCTTACAAACTTGTTCGTCTAAAATTAAGTAATGCCAATAATTTAAAATGTTATCTATGAAAACAGCCCGTAGACAGCCTGAATGACGGTATCTTAATATTCTTAATCTCTCTAATTCACTTTACAACTGATAACTGATAAACATTTTATGTCATATAATATACTACTGCTATTATTGTAATTATTTAAATTATACATAACACTTATGGTAACGGTACATTGTATATCACATCATTGAGCGTTCTCAAAACTGAGATATTTTATATGGAAAAATACTCATATACAGAGTGGAAATTTGTAATGCCACCTGGAGGGAAATTACTCTTAATATTGTAGATACAACATTTTTTCTCAAAGAAAACATCCCTTTGTTTTTGAAAAGAAATATAACTGCATTCAAAGATTTCCAAAAATTTTCTTGCCTCAAAAATAAAGGAATGTTTTCTTTCAGTAAAATTTTCTATCTACAGTATTAAGAGTACTTTCCCTCCAGGTGGCATTACAAAATTCCACCCTGTATACAGAATCTATTGGCCTTGGTTAGGGCAAGTTCATTTTATGATCTAGATTCAATGTAATTGGTTTCCGCATCAATGGTTTACTCAGTGATCTGATAAAAGTCAATATAATCTGATAAAAGTCAATATTAGATATCTGTCTAGATGTTTTTCATCAAATAATATCGAAATCTCTGTGGGCAGGCAGGTCAGTTCTCAGATATGAAACTAAAAACTCGAATAGGCCTAAATGTGTGAATAAATTATTTGATTTCAAGAACATTTTAACTGTAAACATTTTCATAAGCTGTAAGTTAAAAAAAAACACCTACAATTAATAAATTCTTCATAAATAATTCTGCAAAATCCAAAAAAAGTTTCTAATTTTACCAGCTGTGTTATACCATAATACTGAATTATAACTTACATACATCCAAAATTTCAGCTCAAATGCACCTCGGCATTTAAATTCCACTAAGATTCGATTACACAGGGCAGGCAGAAAGGTGAATGAAGCTAAGTGAGATACGAGCCAATTAAATTAAGTAGCAACTTTGTAAACTCCAACAAAACCATTTAATTATCAGATCACTGTACTAAACTTATTCGAATATAATTCACATTAAGACCACGACGCCGCGCCGTCTACCACAAGATTAGCAGCGTTCAAATTGGGGCAAATGTCACTCGAAGTAAACAGTATCATCCGAGCTATCTCCTCCGGTTCTATGATCTTTTCTGTTGGCACCACTTGGGATATCACCTCGTAGACTTGGTCCATGACATCCTCGGAAATGTTGAAGTTTGACAAGAAATTCGTCCTGGTTATTCCCGGTCTTACAGCATTCATACGGACTCCAACTGGAGCTATTTCCAAGCCTCCGAACTTAGTGAATCTCTCCAAAGCATCTCGTATCATGCAGAAAGGTGTGAACCCTGGTCTGGACCTCATTGGAGCACCGAAAACGTTGACAATATTCCCTTTACTTGTCGTCAAATGTGGGAGACATAACTGGGTCAACCTGTACGGTACACGCAGATTTATCGCTATGATTTCGTCCAGTCCATCCATGTCGTTGTCAAACAAAGTCGAAAGAACCACTTTGCCTGCACAGTTGATTAATACATCCAATTTTTTGTAAGTTTCCACTGTCTTCCTGACCACTTCTTCGCAGCTGTTATTCTGGGTTAAGTCGAGGAGTAGGCTGATGGGTTTGTTTCCTTTAGCCTGTTCACAGGCTTCGGCCACTCTGAGCAGTCTCTCTTCGTTTCTGCCGACCAATGTTAGCAGGGCACCATATGAAGCGAAGAGTTTGGCAGTGGCTGCTCCAATTCCCGAGCTGGCACCGGTAACAATCACGACTTTGCCGGTAAAATCCATGGTCAGAGTAACGTGCGCACGCGGCGGTGAGCAAACAGACACTGATTTCGACTTCAAGGTGATAGGACAGTCGTTTTGATACCGGTTTTCTTGTTTGTTGTGTGCGGACAATGTTTGACATAATACAGAGAGGTTAAGTAGGTTTAATCACGTGTTTATTGAAGTCATATTGGGTCGAGTTGAAATAATGTATCGGAGTGTAATTTGTTTTGGCTAATAGTGACGTATAATCTACGTCAATTTGACCTTGAGATATTTTGTTAAATTTTTTGGAGTCCTTCCCTCTGATTGGTTTAAAATTGTGATTGAAACTCTTGAATTTGAATGTAATTTTAAATATCATGTCAAATAAATAGCTAAAGGTGTTCAAATATGTTCTTATTTATTTGTTTACTTGAATTAAACTTGATTATGATATAATGAGTCAACTCAATGTAATGTGTGTAACACTATAAATAGAACTCGCTGATAACGTACAGGAAAACTTATCGAAATAAATAAATACGAATTTTGTTGCTAAAACTAACACTGGGATATATTTCACCTAATTAATTAATTAAACCTTTTTTCCCCGTAAAAAAATCACAAGTTCAAAAAAAATTAACCTTACCGCGAATTTGGTTTAGTATGTCAATATAAAGACGAAAGATAAGATAGTGTATCACTGGTATGAACATAGTAGCGCGTCGCTCATAGTAGACCTACTCGTATATGTTTTTTACTGTATGTATACTTATGATAATATACACGGCCTTCACCCTGTGAATCATATAGTATGCTCGCTCAATGGATGCAAGTGTAACACTGTTGTGTTTAACTGTACATACTAAGTACTTGTTGTTCGTATATTTATGTTTATAAACAATTATAGTGGAATCGGTTAATTATGTTGTATTGTATTCTAATCAGTGAGCTAAGGTCAGTAGTTTTAACAGTGCAGATGACGTGGAAATTTTAGTTTTATTTTTTTACTAGCTTTCCGCCCGCGGCTTCGCCCGCGTGGAATTTGGTCTGTCGCAGAAAGACTGTATCACGCGCGTCCCTGTTTCAAAAACCGGGATATAAACTATCCTATATCCTTTCCCGGGACTCAAACTATCTCTATGCCAAATTTCATCAAAATCGGTTCAGTGGTTTAGGCGTGAAAGCAAGACAGATAGACAGACAGAGTTACGTTCCCATTTATAATATTAGTAGGTACAGATTTGTATTTGGAGAATGTATAATTTATTAGTTGTTTTGTCAAAACTATTTACGCACTTTTTATGAGCTGTCAAAATTTGAATTCTCTATTTAACTAGAAGAGGTAGCTACAGGTGCTATGACGTCACTATTTTGCCAACTAAATTTGCTCTATTTCATAGCAACTACACATCATTATAATGACCTGTTATAGCTCTGAAAGCCTAACATAAATAAGTCATTTTTTAGAGAATTTCTTACTTAGAATGAGGAATTAAAATGTATTAGTAATTTGCTAATGATGACACAAATGTTAATTAGATTTAAATTGTAGTTAATCATTGGACAAACGAATCGAACTAAAAATTACCAAAACTAACGTTAAATTCACTCTAATTTATTGCCTCAAATCCCAATATAGTCGAATCGATAAAACGTTTATTTTTTCATTATACTTAGTTCATAGTTACCAGTACATAAGTATACAACCTGGTAGAGTTAACTGCGACTGCGCACCTGGCAGCCGCACTATGGAGCGAAATTGCGATTTATGGACATAGCGATTTTTTTCACAATTTCTATTTGAAAAAAATACCTATCGATAGGTTACGTTATTCTGATGAATAAATGCTGCACAAGTTTTTCTCTAAAACCAATAGTTTGACTGGAAAAAAATATTTTCCATTTTCGTTTTATGGAATGAAACATAAAGTCGATTTCGACTAAGCCTTGANATAATATTTTAAGCGATTACTCTCTTTATTTATGCATGTAATTATTTTAATTGTTATCATGTGCTATATCAATAATAAATCAGTTAGAAAAAGTTGCTTAAAGTATCGTTATTACGTTTTAACGCAAATACGCCCATATACTGTGCTCGAGATTTAGTTAGGTCTTTTAACATAATGTGTCATATTTTTAAAAATTATAAATAACTTGAAAAATCGAACTGCCTAAGGCGGGAATTGAACCCACGATGCCTTAGGCAGTTCGATTTTTTCAAGTTATTTATAATTTTCAAATTAGTTTGAGATGCGACTCTTAACGCTAAAAATTAAATAACTATATAATGTGTCATAATGAATAAATAAAACAATTTGCTAAATATTTTCATGGCTTTATTTAAGATTTTGATTATAAAAAATATATATTTATGTAAGCAACTACTCGTATAGATTGACGAATCGTATGATTGGGCTTTATACGTGGGGTAGTTTTGCACATACGCCTATTTGCCTAAAATTTTATTTTGTACCTAATGGAAAAAAAAATTTTTTTTCTTACTGACGTTATAGATTAGAGTAAAATGAAATCATTTCTTAAATAATTGGAAAAAGGCGTAAGCGGCAGTTTCGCCTTTATACGTAGGAGCCATCGCTATAGGCATTTGACATGACATGACTCGCGTGCACTTCCCTCAACATGTTATTCGTCTCTTCAAGTGGGTGTTCTACGCAAGTGTATGAAGCTATTATGCACTAGTAGCTATTATTCTTGGAATTGTAGGACTTGTAAAACAATAGCTTGAGTGAACTGTTCTTCTTGGGCTTTGAAAATACGCCCTCGTAAATACAATTCGTACGCAGGCATCGGCCTACGTAACTGATCAGATAAAACGTTTTCTGGAAGAACTTTAGATAGGGTAAGATGCTGTTTTATTTTCGTTATAATAGTCGGCCATTGCTGTTAATATTGGGCACATAATAAATTATAATGTGGAACATAGAGACATATTTATTTAACAGTTGGTGAAACCCCTTATTGGGAACATTTGAATAGCTATAATATGTGAACCCATCTGTCAATTGAGATGCAACTGTACGCTAAAAATTCTAACATTTACTTGAGCATTTTTTCAAAGTAGCCTTTTAATTTCATTGCGTGGCAGAATATGATGTTTATTGTTTATTTCATGGAAAACTAAAATAATGCTGTTGAAAAATGTTTTCTAAAGGCATAATAAATTATTTCCTTTGAAGTAAGTGGACATATCAAATGAGTTGGCGCAGTTAGTAACGTCAAGTTTTCTTACAGTAAATTGAATTCTTTGTTGTCAACTGCTACCTTCTAATTAAGTCCAGAATTAAATATCAAAGCTGCTACGTTTCTTTAACTGTTTGTATGTGACATGGTAAAGATTTAATACATATTAATATTTTAGAAAACAACTAGGTAATTGGATGCTGTCTTTTCTTTATTAGCCTTATTACATTTTATGTGTTTTCCTTATGATTTTTCTTGCTCATTCATGAAAATATTGAATGTTTCTCGTAATAGAATGGGCATACATACAAACACAAAAAAGTGGGTCACCGAATACGTTAGTTTGATTACAAACCGCCCACATCACATCATCTGCCTAGATACCAATGAATCTACACTAAAATATACTAATACCTAACAATAAATTCTTTTTTTTTTACCTGAGTATTTTATAACATTTTCTCTTTCTACTTACAAAAACTGGATCATAAACATAAATCAGAGGCAGAACAAAGGCGTTTCCTAACTGCTTTGTCCTGCTCCGAGGCTGTCGCGGCGGAAACTGCGCCACTCGACGCCGCCAACTGCCTGTAAACTGGAGCTTTCCAGAATTCCCAGCAATCTTCGCAGTTCATTAACCGAGCGAAATATTTGAGTGCAACCTGTAGAATGCTCCAGAAACTATTATTATTTTACCGGTCTATTTCGTAAATCTTAGAGGTTTTGTTGCCGATGCTCAAAACGATGTATTTTTGATATTCCGCAATTAATCACGTCATGTCTACGCTTATCCGAGGTTAGTTGCATCTGAAACTCCTGAAAGATAGATCCTTTCATCATTGTGGGAACACATATCCTTCTTCTGATAACGTGTCTACATCGATTGTGATCCTGAATCAACCTGACGACTCCTTAGGGCTATATTTCACCGGGACTCCATGGCGGCGCAACCAGTCGCCGCTACCAACAAAATGTATACAGCTCTATAGAGAGTTACTCACCTGGTGTCTGTTTGGTTGCGCAAAGCTGTATACATTTTGTTGGTAGCGGCGACTGGTTGCGCCGCCCTGGTGTTCCGGTGAAATATAGCCCTTAGTGGGCTGTTTCGAGGTCTTCATTGACAGCTCCATCATGGTACCCTTTTCTTATATTTTCCCAAGGAAGATTCTGGTTTCGACACAACATATTTTATGCATAGGTAAAATATCTAAAAGGACTTGTATTTCTCACTCAAACCAGTCAGCCTACAAAGCGCTACCGCTGAAAAAATACCAGTGCTTTACAACAACTTCGGGGCATAACACTTTTTGCAGTCTTTATTTTGCGCCACTATATTCGAATTTCTCTTCAGCAAGTCCTCAAACTTCATTAAGCAAGAGAAATTACAAAGAAAGGAATTCGTAGTAAACCTGTTGAACGTTTCATCCACTTGAAGTACCTAAATACTGGTGTAATTAAAACGGTGTGTGGTGATTATGATGGTGAATAATTCACGTTTGATGTATAGAGGTTGTGGGAATGGAATGATCAAAGCAAACAAGCATTGGATTGCCAATGACGGAGCTTCAAATTGACTTTGAGCTATGCGAAGCGTTGTACTCGTATCTTCAACGTATGTGAATTTATTGATTGCGCTCACAAAGCTGGATCCTATTGTTTGTCGTCAATGGAGTGTTTATTGGAACACATTGAGACATTATTCGCATAATTTTGAAATAAATATTGCCAATAGTAAGTAATTTAAATAGGTCTTTATTATGGTATTTGCTAGAATAGTTTGACTGTCATATTTCATGGCCATGACTTAATATACCTAACCAAAACAGTTTAATTCACTTTGAAAATATGAACTTAATTTAATTTTC